GACATTTCTTCGATAATATGATACTTGTTGGATTCAAAAAACAAGCCTAGAACCATGCTTCTTGCAGAGATATGCTGATACCGGGTTCTCCCAGCTCATGGGGGCATGATAGATATTTTGGAGATCAATGATGAACCGAAGATCGATTATCCTTAACCTAGTGCTTTAACACGAGGAATTTCTCATGTATGATATAGGACCATCCCAAACCATTTCATAGTTCTTAAACATGCTTTTGTTGTTGGAGAAATGTTGGTGGCCCTTGAATCTACCCACCAATCTCATCCCTTAGATTATACAAATCTCTGACACAATAGCCACAAACTTCTTGGCGCAATCACTTGACTAAGCTGATTCTTATGTAAACCCGGACTAGTTCATGAAGTGGCCCACCTTGGCACAGAAGTACGATATGACTTGCTTTTGCTATCCCTTGCCTTAAGGGCCTTTGTTGGTCTTCTTCTTGATCTTATGCTCAGGGATCTTGGTTCCTCCTGCTTGTGCTTCTACTTTTTCCTTGTTGGTCCTTCCACAATGTTGGCCCCAGCCACCAGATCAGATCTATCCTCCTCTTCCAAATCTCGGAGTTGAGTCTCATTCTCTAGATGGAGGTGCCTCAGGAGCTATTTGAGGGTCATGCCCTTGTGTTTGTACTCCAAGATATTTAGGTAGTCCTTCTAGGTTGGTGGCAGTTTAGCAATTATGATTGCTACCTGGAAGGCTTCATCCAGTTGCATGCCACCCAAGATTATCTTGTTGACAATTATCTACAGTTCATGCATTTGGGTGAGAACTAGCTTGTCACAGAAGATCTTGAAGTCCAAGTACTAGTCAACCTAGATCTTCTTCCTACTGCATGCTATGACTTATATTATGCTCTCAGGCTTTCCACAATTACTTAGCTGAGGGCATGCCTGAGTAAAAGTTGAAGAGAGGATCAGTTGGGGCATTCAAAAGATGCCCTGTACAGATATTTTCATCCACAATGCATTTGACCCATACTTTCTCAGTGTCTGAGGATGACTAGGCCTGGGCCTGAGCTGCTATTGAGTGTAAGCGTGGGAAGTCAAGGAGTCTACCTAAGGTTCAGCTGACATATCAGTAGATTCCTCATATCAGTAGATTCATCATTTAACATCAACTCCAATGGGGATGTTTCTAGAGGCGGACATGATTGCCTGGGTATTAGGCCACCCTAAGGGTGGTCTGCAGGAACAAAACCTTCAGCTGCTATCATTTGAAATTCGCCCCATCAAACATATGCTAGGTCTTCGTTCATGAAATTCAATGCATTCAAAGACATTAATGAATGCCTAATACTTCAAGATTGTTCTCTTTAGGGTCCTTTAAAGCCTTAAAACAAGATTAAAAATATAATCTCCAATGCCCAGTGCAACCATGTTAATAAAGAATGAATTCCCTTAAAAATGGGCAAGAATTTGCCCTCCTAAATGTAGCCACAGCAAGAGCTTGTTCAGCACAATCTTTAAGGTCAAACACAGAGAACTTACTTCGCCACTAACTAGGAATGAGTTTCTAGTCAAAATGTGGTCCAAGCAAGTGCAAATTAGTGAAATAGCAGCCAAAACTGAGATTTTTAGTAAATCACGACCAAAATTCATGATCAGTCTTTGCATTTTAGAAACTTCCCGAAATTGCCATTGATCCTTGAGAATTAAGGGTGGCAACGGGCCAGGCCAGGCCAGGCCCGGCCCTTATCCCCATAGCACCGGCCCAAGCCCATCCTGGCCCTGTTAGGGCCGAATGAGGACAATAAAAAAAAAAAAGAGGGCCTGGCCCAGCCCTTGGACCATGAACTGGCCCAAGCCCTACTTTTTTAAGGGCTGGAGGGCTGGGCCGGGCCTTATTGAGAATGATGCTCAATGATCTTCTAATAGCCTAAAAGGCTTTATTACAATCCAATGTTTGAATTCCAAGCCATAACTGAGGTTAAAACAGATAACATCTCAACGGAGTGAAACACTTGGGAGTAGCGTTCGAAAATTAACCGAACCGGATTGGGAATTGCTGGTCACTGTGCCATTTACAGTCAGAATCTGCGATTCAGTTCATTCATATAATATAATGTCTAAATCTTATACTTTTCCCAGCTGGCTGGATTACATGCCTTTCAATGCATGGTTGGAGGTTCGATTCCTCCCAGCAACTTATTCCAATGTACCAGCATTTGCGTTTCTTTAAAAAAAATTTCTTTTTCTATCATTTGTTTTCTCACTTTAACAGTCTTTTTTAACCGTAGCAAAAAGAAGGTGCTTTAGTAGGAATGAAACTTCCAACATTTGGTCACTCCCAAACGTCAACTCAGTTGTTTCACGTGACATAAAACCTATATTATATATAATATCTTCATTTTCTTTTTTCTTTTCTTTTCGTTTTTGTATTTTTTTTTGGGGGGGGGGGGGGGGGGCAGTACCGATCGGGCCAATCTGGACAACCCGAATCAGCATCGATGGGTGGACGATCCCCCAGAATCAGTTTTCTAAAACATAGCTCCCGAGCAAACCCCTCTTGGTAACCAATGTCAATCAAATAGTGACTGTTAGAGTTGCACTAGGATCTCTTATTTGCAAAATAACAAACACATAATAGGGAAAGCTCAATTTTTGGAAACAAGTTGATTGCACTTTGACTAGATCCAGTCACAGGATGCTCCAACTATCTGCAAAATAATAAATGCCCCCAACACAAAATCTCTCAGTGATGCAATTGACTAGTGGGCAAAGACAGTCATAGGATAAAATTGGGCCATGTGAAACGCTTGTTAAAAAACTCTAGTTACACTGTCATGAGAGCCTTCGAGGGACTACAGAGCCCATTAGTGATATGCCTTTTGGCAGAAACTGATAGGTAATCAGTTGAGCATCACAGCGAAATAAGTTTCCCAGAAAGTGGTAGAGAAATCACTAAGAAATCTCGATTTCTTGACAGCAGTGAACACTTGCGGGAGCAGAGTTCACCTCTTTGATAGAAATTTCTTCCAACTTTATAATTTTAAAATGGGATATTTAGAGATGGAATTCTTTGTTCATCTAACATAGCTATAGTGGAGCAGATGGGAGTGGTTAGAAAGGACGATATGTGTCACAATGTCAAAAATAACAACTACAGAGCTGGTGGGATTTGGTAGCATAACCATAGGGAAAATCAGTTACCACTGGAATAACTGTAGTGAAAAGCTGCCAAGGGTATTTTGGTCTTCCTATTTGTTTCAATGAATTTTAGATGCAAAATTTGAGTTTGAACGAGTTCAAATTGCCCAAACTCATTGATTAAGCAAAACGATTGATCCAAACAACTTTTGTGTTGATCAGCCACATAATCAAAAAAATTTCAGGATTTGAAACTGAACACCCTAAACTCTGTTTAAGTTGGTTCAAAGAGCCAATACTACAGCTACAGGTCAGTTCAAAACTAACATAATACAAATATCTTTTGGGCTGCTTGGACTATGAAGGCAGCCCATGGACAGAGAGGGTTGGGTTCAGGATTTATGCAGGCTAGACTGGAATTGAGCTTAGGGAGATAAGACCCTATGAGAGAGGAAATTCATGGCACGTACATCACCTACCACTACGTTAGGTCCAACTAGATCGCTGGTGACAACCTCTAGATGCACTACACAAAAAATTGAAGGATGTTCATGATGCAACTTAGGGCTGGGAGGTCTGTTTATGACACACATACTTGTAAATCAAACTTTGTTGAATGACCATCCAGAGGAAAGAAACAGTTGGGGCTGGGTGGCTTTGGAATATCCCCTAAAGATGTTGAGGGATCCTCATTCGTGTCTTACTTATGAATGATTTCCTTTTGTAACTCTTCCCTAGATGAGGCCAAAGCATTACTCATGCGCCTCAAGCTTTGTATACCTCTAAGGGATGATGATATGGTTATAGAAGGCAATTGCCTCACTGTTATCAGATGATATCATAGTTGGCACCCTTCCGTTGGTAGTTATCAGCTTTCTTTGAGGACATTTGTTATTCATAGGGTGACAAAAGTTTCTAACTTGCACCAAGGGATGTAAATGTAGAGATGGACATATTGGCAAATAGTTTGATCACATGCGACCTAATATTTGTTAAGGATACAGTCACCAATCACAAAATAAATAAATAAATAAATAAATAAATGGAGGGTGCTCCTCAAATCTTGAGATGTCACTGTGGTCTCTGGCATCTCTTTACCTTGTTTCTTTCTTCATGTACTGCTTAATTACTTTACTTTTTCCGTAGGAGGTTAATTTACAAAAAAGAAGATGGTACCAAATGATTTCACGGCACCCAAAACGTAAGTCAATGGGAAAGTACGGTATTATCTATTGGACCATTGTAAAACCTTAGTTAAATGTGGTCATCACCATCAAACGAAATCCAGGGGTAGTGATAACGAGAGAGTGGGACCCACTATAGGAGGCATGTCAGATCTAGTGGGTCTCATTCTTTTTCCACCATCGTCTATCATTCATTGGACAATGATGACCCAAGTGGATTATTGTTTTCAATGGTTCATAAAATTACATGGAATATTCCCCTAATTCATTTGCAGTTACCAAGTGCATCAAAGCTTTGTCGTCTCAAGTTCCATAAGATAGGTGATTCAACTTTTCATTGTGGATCTCGAAACTCAATGATGAGATGATAAAATTTGTAGCAAGTAGTGACCTCTAGGTGTTCGGAAACCTAAAGGGCATTGAAACTATATCCAACATTAAAACCATAAAGGCCCATTACTTAAAGGCAATAATACCATAATCCAATGAGAATGGTACATGGTACGTCAAGGGCATCCGCTATCTTTCCACATGGACAATGAAGATGTGGAGGCCACCACGACAATAGCCCCATAATCTCCACTTGTGCATCATAAGGAACGAATGTTTGATGCACCTTTGGAGTACCATAAACTAAACTCTTATTGGATTACAATATAGTTTCCCAACCATAAATCAAGGGATTCGCGTGAAACAAGATCTTCACCTCTCAGAGAAGCGGCCCCTCTCTGAAGAGGGCATGCTTAATACCCGAATGGGCATCAGAGGCCCACTGTGAGTTTGGCGGTGCTTGAATAATTGATTCCGAGAGTTGCTTTGTTCAGGATCCCTTTTTGAGAGAGAATGAATAGGATCATTTATTGACCCATTTTCACGACCATCTCTTTGCTCCAAATTTTCAGCTGCAGGCGACTCTGATTCTGAATTTTCCTCCCTTGCACCAAAGCACCTGCTATCTAGACATCCAGCTCCATCGATATTTCCTCTATAAGTAAAAGAAAGATGTTAATTAGCGGGAATACTAAAAGAATCTTATTACAAACATAGAATGGGTATCCTAATATCCAAAGTACTATAATGATAGCTTAATAAAAAATATGACATGCTTAAACTTGCAACATAAAAGGCTCAATTAAGAGACAAGTGAAACTGTAGATTCAAAACCTTTCAACATGATGTGTCTATCGCACAACTACCAGAATCTCTCACCCCAGGTGGCGATTCCGCTTCAGAACCCCGACTCCGTGATTCCGTCAAGGAATCTTCATGGAAACCCTCTATTTAAAATCAGGAATCTCAATTCCACATTTGTTTGATCTTGATTCCACATTTTTTTAATATCGATTTAATTTTTGTGCAACCCAGATTTCAAAGCAGTATATTTTTTATTACATGTAATTATGTACTCTCTTCTAGTGTTAAAATCTCTATCACCCTCTCTCCATGAGTGTGCTTATGATGTTTAGACTTAGCAATTGTTCCAGGAACCCTACAACACAATGTGAATGTCAACAAAAAATATTATTTTATTTGCTTTCTCATTAAATGTACTCACTTTTATTTTATCACGTATATTTTGAAAATAAGGTTTAGGGATTCTTACACAAATGCTTTTCTATAAGTGCTAGAACTTGGTAGCTATTTTTTAAAGATAATTGGGATCAGTTTGGATTACACTTCTAATAGAGCTAGAACTGGCTGCATTCTTTTTTTTTTTTTTTTTTTTTTTTGAGAACAACTGGCTTCTATTTTTTAAGAATGATGGGAAAGAGATTTAGGTTCAATTCGGATTGCAAGACAGAATAACACAATGGCATAAACATATTCCCATTTTGAACTATACAATGAAATCAAAATCTCAGTTTTAAGTAATCAAAATCTCAGTTTCAAGTATACATGAGATAATATTTGTTGTAAATACTATCACAAATTCCCTATTGGAGTGTCTGCTAATTGTATTACGGCCACTTGATCTTAATTCTGATACTGTGATTAGAGCTCAATATATCATTCTCAATACCAGAAGAACTCTTTTTCAGGTCTTTATGACCTTTGAGGATCTCGATTCCAATACTAGGGGAACCATGGCTAAGCAATACCCAATACATCGATTCCAATAGGAATTTTTGCAAAATACATCGATTCCAAAAGGAATTCTTGCATAAGATTACTCCACAACCTTGACTTTTTGCCCCATGAAACAAATTTCCTTATGATTTTTGATGTAGTTCTAATTTGTTGGATGTACGATCCCATAGATGTAGGGATCTCGATTCCAAGTGGAATTAAACTAGATTCTTACTTGGTATGAATCTCAATTCCAAATAGTCTGAAACTTGAGTCTAAAAGCTAGGAATCTTGATTCCGTTTGGGTTGAAACTCGATTCCATAGAAGTGGGAATATCCATTCCATTTGGGTCGAAACTTCAAAACTCAATTCCAATAAAGTATGAATTTCATTTCCTGCAATTCCCCACTTATGGACAGCAATTCCGACAACATGATTCTTCCAACCACTCGCAAATCTGCGATTCCAATTCCTAAATTGATTCAAAATCTCAAGCATTTCCAACAACTATGATCTATCCTTCTGAGACTTTTTCAACCATTGAAGAAACAAAAGTATTCAGCATTGGAGCCTGAAAGTTAAGAGAATGAAAAGTATTCCAAGAACATAGCATTCAAAATGTACAACTTAAAGAAAAACTAAAATTTCCATCATGCGAACTAAGACTTAAATATTGAAAGCAAGGAAAAATCTTTTCTTGTCACTTCTTTTATCATCTGCAGTGTTTTAAAAAGTGGACCGCCCAGCGCCTAGGCAATCCAAAAGGCCTGACAGCCTCGCCCAAGCCTAGGCGGCCAAATTAGGCGGGTTGTCCCTAGGCGCCCACCTAGGCACCCACCTAAGCAAGCACCCAGGACCTACGCCCCTCCTAGGGGCAGAAATGCGCCTCGTTGAGAGCATTTTTTGGTCTTTTTTTTAATACTAAAGGGGCAAAATCGTAGGTTTTAAGTTCATTTTAAACCTAAACTCCATTAGAGCCTACTTTAGAGAGAGAGACAGAAACCCCAAAAAACTAGTTTTGGTGATTTCCATTTACAAGAAATTGATCTAAGCATCACCCAATGATATTAGATTTAGTGGACTATCAAACTATAGACTTATGGTGTATGGAGGAGTGTGTGCTATGTGGCCTTGTGTACTATACATTTGATGTGCCCTAAATCCCTAACTCTTATTTGTTATACAGTTATACTTATAATGTTATACTATAGAGACATTTTTCTTTCTATTGGGCCGCCTAGGTGCTGCCTAACTTTTTTGAAACACTGATCATCGGGAACACACTAATCTTACATATTATCAGAAGAAAACATGGGCCATAGTATCATAATATACAAGCATATCAGAAGACTATTAAATTAACCAAGAGAGGACTTAACCAATAATGATGATTCACATAATAAAAGAGAAGGTAAAACCTCCAAATGAATAGTAGCTAATAAAGTAAACACAGAATTATAATATCAAAGTGCAGAATCCAACAAACAAACCAAGATGACATATGCTGCATGAACATACTTGCAATAAAGGTCATTGGTTGATATTGACTTCCCCGCGCCAGATTTAGATACAGAGAAGACCTATGAAAATATACAAGTCATTCAAAGCTTGAACGTCTAAAATTGAGCTCTCTCTCTCTCTCTCTCTCTCGCTCTCTCTCTCTCTCTCATATGCAAGAGAAGCCATCAAACCCTATCATTTACAAGTGGTCCTAAATCTTCGTCTTCTTCCTTCAAAACTGAGGGATCATCATCATCCTGAACCTATTATAAAAAGAAAAGCAAGGAAATTATATCTCAATGACAAAGTACAAGAGTTCAAAAATGGATAGAAATTAAATAAGTACTTGCTCAAGCTACACTTCTGAAACATGAATAGAACAAAGGAAAGCATATTATAGTCCTAATAATATATGTTACTCCAGGACTACATCCAACATGTTCATAGTAACTGGAGAACAACTGGAGTGGGACTCATAGAGACATTCACTGGGGAAATTTATCTCCAACCACCCATCCTAGGGAATGGACAGTGGATGTAGCTTGAAGCTTTGGAGTACACTGGACGATGGTATAATTTCACATGGAAAGCATGTAAAGAAGACAGCTTTATCATACCAGTGCAGCTTGGGATTTCAAATCCTCAACATCAAAATTCCATGCACTTACACCTCGCTTATACTCATCCTGGCATAAAGAACATAACAACCAAATAATCAGACCATTTCTGCAAGATTACTAGAAGCACACCAAGTCTTCATTCAATTGAATTAGGGGAGACCAGAATACAAATAAAAATAGAGAGGACCTTCTTCATTTTATTTTGGAGTTAAGATATGACAAATTTCCAGTCCTATAAGGTCTCCTGAAACTTGGTAGTGACCTGAGGCGAATTGGCTGGAACATGTCATTCGCTGACTTGCTAACACTCTTAACTGTGGTTTCTGCCTGCCTGTTTTTTGATTTTTTAACTGCGGCTTGTGTTTTCTATCTGATGTGGTTAGTTCCCTAATGCAAACTAAAAGATTTCATCATGAAATAAAAGCTATTCACTTTTCTCACTTCTGTAAACAGTGATGTCAGAATGAGTCATTTATCCAATGCTAGCTAGAATTACTGCCACAAAATGGTTAACCGGTTCAATATTTTTCCTTTAAAAGGAAATGCTATGGAGCTGGTTTTTCAATCCATCGATGAACCTTATTCAGAAAAAGGATGGTGCTGATGATTCATCGAGCAATCGATCTTAGCCCTCGGAAAACTTGGTGGCCCTCGCAATCTAAAGTATCAAATGCAACAAACATAAAGAGAATCAGGACAAGCACCGAACCTGTGACAATGCTTCTTCTTCCGCTGAAGGCATCTTCTTTAATGCTAACTGTGCAGCATCCTTAAGCTGTATCATAAAAAGGAATCATTCTATCATAAATGCAATTTTGGGCTCTAATCAATACAATAGCAGGTAGTGAGTGTATTCTCAAAGAGACAGGCAGCACTTCATGAGATTGTTAATGCAAAGAAGCGTATGCCAACCTGGAGAGCTTTGACACGTTCCCATAGTGGCGGCAAGTTAACTAGAAGACCTGGCACTGTTGCCTCTGGAGGCTTTGCATGTTTAAAAAAGGAATGCTTTAATAGCTTTTCCGCTGTTGGCCTCTTCATTGGATCTTTCACCAAGCACATGGCAACCATTTCTTTAAAAGACTGCTCACAACTGGAACTCTTTTAATTAGTAAATTAAATCAGGAACAATCTTTCAGTATGAAAGTCTTGCAAATAAAGTTTTGTTCAAAATTGTTGGTAACAAACGAATTCATTAATTCCATAGCCAACATTATCTTATCTATCAGCAACCTAAATCTTGGAATAATTGTCAGTAGGCATAAGGACAAGTGACACCTTTGAGAATCTTTTGTCTCTATCATAATCAAGTCCAGGAGGAGCACTTTGGATGGTCATCAGAAGAACCTAAGGCAAACAGCAACCAAAAGTTAAAATATGGAAAACAGCACTATAATGAGTTTCTGTATTGAACGCTTGCTTTGTTTCGAAACATCCAATATTGAAATACGACTTATGAAATGAACATGATCATTTAGTAAAAGGATTCTCAAGATTAATTATCTAAGACAATCAACTTTCCATTCTTCATGAGCAACAAAAGTTTTACCTTCATTGGAGGATACTTTGAGAAGGGAGCATGCCCATGTGCCAACTCCAATGCAGTTATTCCAAATGACCAAATGTCAGCTCTGTAGCAATAATGCAAATAAGAAAAATGATGATGACGTGCATTGAATTTGGCCACATGACATTTCATAAGCAGAAGAACAAAGCTTTTCACCGCAAAATAGTAAAACAAAGCATTATAAATCATTTCAAAATCTATCTTCAGACAGGCTTTGATGATAACAACAAATAAAACATAATAGTGATATAGACGATACTGGCAAATTTGTAGCTCAAACAATTGCATGTCTATAGCATCAACATGACTATTCATGATATTTGAAGCTTTCAATATGCTAGTGGCTTTCAACCTGACATTTTACTCATAGTGTTTTGCATGGAATAAAAGGATGCCCAAAAAATAGGATTTACATGAATTACAAAAATGCTTCTTGGAAAGAAAGGTTTACAAAGTGGAAAATAAGCTATGGTTATCCTGGATCCTGATATTACAATGAGCAAGTATTTCTAGGTTTCAGTTAAGTTGTTTACTGATTTAGAAACCACAGTAAACATATAAAACATAACAAAACCAGATATCAAAGACTAATGAATTTTTTCTTCAGATGAAGCAATTAGACTGAATAGTATGACATGGAGCACAGAATCAACATGTCATCTCCATGAAGACAAGATATTTATGAGGATGATAGCTACTGACCATTCTAGATTTCATTTGGTAAAAGTTACGTAAGATTATGCCAGACATAATGAATCATACTTACTTGAAATTATATCCACTACCTGGTTGCAAAACCTCAGGTGCCATCCTAAACAAACAGTAAGTTAAATTATCAGACAACAAATACTAAAATGTGAACTATACAATAAACCAATGGACTATGGAATTATGGAAAACGATATTCCATTGGGGTCATCACCATCTAATTATATTATGGATGATAATGGAAGAGGGAGGGAGGGAGGGAGGGAGGGAGGGTGGGAGGGAGGGAGAGAAAAAGAGAGAGAGAGAGAGAGATGAACCCACCATTGGAGTTGAGTCCTAATTCGATGGATCCCACTCTCTCTCCATCACCATTCATTATTTAATTGGACCATGCACTCCTCAATAAACTATGATTTTCCGTAATCCATTGGAATATAGTAAACTTCTCTACAGTGTTTCAAAAAGCGGACCGCCCAGCACCTAGGCGGTTCTGGGGGCCTGGGTGCATCGCCCAGGATTAAGTGCCCAAAAAAAGCGGATATCCCTAGGCGCCTGAGAACTCGCCGAGGCAGCTACCTGAACCCACCTAGGCAGCCGCCCAGGGCCTACACCCCACCCAGGGGCGGAAATGCCCCTCGTTGAGGGTATTTTTGGGTCATTTTTTTAATACTAAATGAAACCTAAAACCCATTAGAAAACCCCCAAAAAAAAAACCCATTAGAGCCTATTTTAGAGAGAGAAAAACCAAAAAAAAAAAAATTCTGTTGGGCCGCCCAGGTTCTAGGCGCCCGCCTAGGCGCTGGGCGGCCTAGACCGCCCCCAACCGCCTAGGTACCGCCTAGCGCTTTTTGAAATACTGCTTGTCTATAGTAAAGTTTACAAAGCCAAAAGCTTCCAAGGTGGGGCTATGTTATAAGAGGGAATGAGAAAAACTATGCCCTACCAACATGGGGTCCCAACAAATGTATTTCTCGAACGTTGCCTGTCACCCCTATCAAACATGCAAGCTGTCACTCCAAAGTCTGCAAGCTTAACCCCACCATCACTATCAAGAAGGATATTTCCAGCCTACAAACAGCACTGGGCGTTAGGAAATCACTCTTATTTCAATTTTCTAATTTCAAATGTTGATCAACAAAATCATGCTAGAAAGAAATTTAAAGCCACCTTCACATCACGATGAATGTGACCATGTCGATGTAGATACTCCACAGCCTTAAGTGTCTCCTTAAGAACAGAACCAATAACGGCTTCTTCAAATCCTTCCGGATAAGCTATCTTCATCAAGTGCAAGCAAGAACCTTCTGCCATGAAAGGCATAACAACCCAAAGGCTATGATCAACAACAAAAGAACTATAGGCCCTGATAACATTAGGGTGGTCTATTAAACTCATGGTTTGAGCTTCCCTTCGTATGTCATCCTGCATAACATTCAATAGTTATGGATGATTTATGCTAGCAAGGAAGGTTAAACTACTAATGGCGCAAATCATGATTCACTATGGTTTTTTTTTTTAAATCTAACATCATTCATTATGTTAGCCATACTTCCATGTAACTAACATCCTTTTCATTGTCAGAAGTTAACGAACCAGGGGGTACATTCCAGTATAAAAGATGGTCTCAACACAGTCATCAAGGAACATATCCTATGACCAAATTGGAATCTCCCTATCACAATGGTGTCAAAAGACTTTCCTAGTTACTAAATTTTGCACAAAAATCGAGCAAATTTATTGTAAGAAATCAAAGGAGTACGCCTACTAGAGGCATGATTAGGGTCACAAGATTCACAGGTATATCAATGGTCTAATTTCTCAAATCCCTAAGTCTAAAATCAATATGTTAAATTGTTTTGTATGATAATATAAACTAGCATTCCAGGAAAACAACCTCATAAAAGCAAAGATGATATCCTATCTCCTTCGATGTGCTATCAATTATTATCATAGACATGCAGCAAGAAGAAAGGGTGCAGTTTGCTACCACTAAGAATTAGCTTCAAATTCTTCCCCCAAATTTGCTCCGTTAATATCTTAATCACCCACTCTTGAATATCAAATTCATAATATATAAGCAAATAATGGCAAAAGTCCATCATCCAATTGTGCAATTGAACTAATAAATTAAGGAAAAATTAATAAAAGAGTGATAAGAATAAGAAGATCTTAGTGGGTCTCTTCATCAGATAATATATATAACGGAAAAGTTTTATTATCAAGGCGCACAGTCAAATAGGATCAGTTCATTTGTGACATTCAATAAGATTTGAGAAATGAAGAAAGAAAAGGGTAAGAAAGACCAAAGACAATACTTAAAACAAAAGAATAAGATATGAGACACATGCGGAACTTATTTCGATGTATATATTGATCGTAGCTTAAGATGTATATGGAAAGGACATGAGGCATACAAGGTTACTGCCGCATCTGTCGAGATCCAAGCACTTGACAGCAACAACTTCATTAAAAGGCAAGTAGATTGCCCGATAAACTACAGCACTTGCACCATGGCCAACTTCTTCAAGCAACTTATAGTCCCCAGGCAATGCAGAGTAGCTCTTCTGACCACCCATCCTACCCATAATCACCAGAAACTTGCCGCAATCTTCACTGGTAAAGGACACAAAAAAGTTTCATAAGACAAACAACAAAAGAAATGGTAATTCAGAAGAATACCTCATTTCACCATCATCATAACATTACAACTTATCCTACCCATAATCCCGACAGCCTGCAGCAAGCCACTTGCAATGTCAGTAAATGAGAAGAAAAACTTCCTCCTAAAAAACTCTTACATCCATATCTGCCATTCCTTATAGAAGAAGAACCCCACAAAAGGGGTGAGTGTGTGTGTGTGCGTGTATACACATACATATATCAGACTATCAAAATCACGAAAGCAAAATAAAAAAAAAATAAAGTTTCAGTTGAGTTATCAGAACATTAACAGAGCAATTCTCCTCCATGCCACAAACATTCCTAAATACCCATAACCCCAACACCCAAAACTGTGACACCTTAGAACATGAAAGGAACAAAAACGGTTTAAGAAACTTTCCTGAGATTGAACCAAAATTTCAAAACCAACTTCTAATTTACTGAAAGAAAAAATCCCACTTCTAACGAAAAGCAATTCAAATAAATCCCACTTCAGACAAGATTCAATCAGTAAAAAGACACGCACATCTGCTTTCCCAAAAGGAAAGGACTCAACCTCTGGTTATCAACAATAAGAAAATGGGAAAAAGTAAAACAAAATAATAAGCTTCAGTAAGAGAAGTTTCAACCAATAAAAGGAGCACCCACTTCCATCGAAATGAGAAAAACCCATTTCCAATTATCAGCAGAATCAAGAAAAGTTTTTCTACATGAGAAGTTGGACCAAACAGAAGGAACCCACTTCTAAGTCCCCAAAGGAGACTACCCAACTCTGATTATGAGCAATCATAATAACAGGGAAAAACAAAAAAAAACAAAAAGCCCTTTCAATTACAGAAGAAGATATCCACTTCTAATTCCTCCAAGGAGGAAAGCCCACCTTCGATCATTACCCAAAACACCTTCAACTAGATAAAATTCAAATAATAATATTGAAAACCTACTTCTAATTCACTTAAAACGTGAAGAACCGACCCCTGATTATCATCAGTAACAAACAGGCAAAGTAGAATAACACTACAGAGAGAGAGTCGCAAAGGAGACAAATTAATACAAAATGAAACCCACTACTAATTTCCTGAAATCATGAAGAACCCACCTCTAATACTCAGCAGGAGAGAAGAAATCGCTTCAGTTTGTAAGCAAAAGAAGCCCGAGTCTCAGTTCCCAATAGAAAAAGGACAATCTTCCTTCTTTACTATGAATTTAACCACTTGGGGTCAAGTAATCCTCTCTCAGAAAGCGTTGACCACCATTAAGACGAGTTTAGGAAGGTCTGGAACCGAGCAAAGGTGAGATCACCGATACAGATGAGACGGCCCACCTTCTGGCCTGTCGGCTTTTGTATTCTAAGCATGTTATAATGGGGATTTTAATGGGTCCTTATTTGTGTCGCTGGATTTTGTTTGGTTTTTCACTTTGGATAGATGCGAGAAGATTTTACAGTGTCGTGCGCCATAGATTCTCCATTGCCATTCACTGCCACGGCAAACAGCAGATAGACCGGAGACCTTCGGGTATGGAAAATTATCGAAAATATACTTTATGTTTTGTCTTATTCTAAAAATAAATAAATAAATAAATAAATTTTTATAAACTTCGTCTATACCCTTCTTCTTCTTTTTTTTTCTTTTCCTTTTTTCTGACTTTTATTTCACCAAAATAATATTCACAATAGTCATATTACTGTGAAGCACATTGTGGTACTTTAAGTTCCGTAATATATAGCGTATTTTATATGACACTTTTAATATCATAATATCTCCAATATTTGTTATGGTAGTCAGAACTACTATAATACTTTCACATATGTACCGTACTTTCCTTAGTGATTATATAGTACAAAAATAACCGTAATTATTTCCTACCCTTTTGATGATTTTTTTATCATAAAACCCTATTTTTACGATTTCTTTGTCATAAACCGCTATTTTTTCATCTTCTTTAGCTTCTCTCTCTCTCTTCCTCCTTCGTCTCTCTCATCCATTTTCTATCTCTCTCATCTATTTTCTATCCTCTCATCTTTTTATCAATCTCTGAACGAGGTCTCTGAGAGCTATTTCCCAATATGTGAGCATCAAATATACACACCAACACTATTTTATAGGTATATCATCTGTCAGGCTTTTAATTATATTTCCTTGGATTTGAATGGGAACATTTTATAAGAATATATTATGTTGTTTTTTCTATAGTACAATGTAGTTGAGTTGCCCATTGTATTTTTTTATTAAAATATTGCATAAATAAGTTTTAGATTTGTATTTATATTGTGGTATCTGTATTACAATCTAATGTCCCTATATAATGCAACCTTCTCATTATATATAAGTATTTTGAAACTTCTCAACAATATTTTATATTTATTTCCATCTGAAATTTCTCTGTAGTGATTGAGCTTGTACACAACAATAATGGGTGACAACAAAGTGAATCGTTTCATACTTTGGTGGTTTTTTTAAGAGGAAAACTAATGATAAACGTATTTTCTAGAATACTGGGGACATGAAGGTTCTATTGTTTAGGGTAGTTCTATCATTCGACCAAATAAAGGGTCACTTGTCAAAAGTATCAAATTATGTCCCATGGCTATTAGGTATATTGACCCAGGGTTACCAAGTAACACTAATATGATATGTATTGATAATGATGATGACATTGCAAATATGGTGGAAAGGTATTCTCTTGTCTCTATGTACATCTCAAATAGGCCTATTGAGTCTGACTCCACTGAATATTGACCACCAACAGTGCCCGATAATGGTCCATCAAGATTGGTCATGTAATAAGTTTGCAATGAAATTCATTATTATTTTTATTTGTCAATATTTTGTTATGGGTTAGGACAATTCTCACTTGTTTTTCAATTTTTTTTTGACAGCAGTTCCTAATTAGAGGAAGTAGTTATGAGTGAAGGTGCTGCTGGCATAAGCATAGAAAATGAGCATGATTCAGAAATCGAGCAGCATATCGACGACATCAATCCAATAGAAAGCCCCATCAGGATTAACCATTACAAAGTTATACTTCAACAGGGTCAGGATTTTGAAAAGGTACAAGCATGTCGTAATCACTTTATTGATTATATCATATCACAAAACTTCAATATGAAGTTTATAAAAAGTGAGGAGAGATGTGTATGGGTGAGGTGTGTTACAGATGGGTGTACATGGCAAGTGAGCTGTTCGAGGGTTAATACAACAAACTTCTTCGAGGTGTCTCTGGAGGGATGTTTTCTAAATGGATTCTGGATTAAGGGTCTAGTCCTTAGCCTGCACCACTCCATGTATTCTTATGTCGGCTTCCTATTGAACATATTTTCAGCTACCTGACACATATAATCGAACCTCTTCGTCCATCTATCTATTTCATTTTGAAGCTTGTCTGCCCAGTTAGCAGTCATCTTCCCCCTTCTCTCCCTCCTCTCTCACTGCAAGGGATCAGTCGGTATCCCTTGGTGAAGTCTAAACTGCCGGAGCACACGATATGACATTTCCTAACAAATGTGTCTACATATGAGATATGTGCGACGTGAAGTAGTCTAATGAACAATAAGGTCATAATCTCTATCCTTTTCAATTTCCTCTCCTATGTCAAGATAATCATTGTATGGGGTCCATATGACCTATAACAAAAAAAAAAAAATTAAGTTAAATAACCTACATCAAAACTTAATTGAAATATAAATAAACAAAATCAATGATAATTATTCTATACTACTATCATTTATCTACGCGTTATCCGTGTCCTGTCACCCCACGAGAGGGAAGTTGTGAGAGTTATCTATTCTCGAGGAGGGGCCCACCTGAGGGATCTAGGTTTCCTTGTCCTTATTTTTTTGAGAATTAGGCACAACAATTTGAACGCTCGTACGCCTATCACAGATGCATGTATAAAAAATAAGTATTACAACAAAAAATGTCTATCAAACTTTAAAAAACTATCAAAACATTAATATACTAGCATTACCAGCAAAATAGTGGCTGATCCACTTAGGTGCTGATGACCAAGACGAACAACTTTTGACAATCCTCGACACAAAAAAGGTAGGGCAGCTGCACCCCATACATACTGACCAGCTACTTCCATATCCTCAAAAAGCTGTAAATACATTATAGGCACCGTACCATCTATGGAATCCGCAAATATTGTGCAATCGACTAGAAATAGGATGTAGGACGGTGTGGTAATAGTTCTATAATAGCTGTTTAAAAGTGTTCATCAACTAGATAAAAGAATGGTTACCACCAGGTGGCAGTTGTCCTATCATGCTGACAACTTAATCCTCGTACTTCTCCATTCTCTTAAGAGTTACAGCTACACCAGTTACCCTGAACCAGAGAATTTGTTATACATCTTCAAGAGTAGGCATCATCTCTCTGACATCTATATTGAAGTGCTGGTTGTTTGTCTTTACGTGCTACCTCTCTATCATAGTAGACAATGTGTCGCAGTCATGGTGAGTTATCAGTATTATGGTCAGATGATACAATTCTGATCTCCTGACCCAATCAATTTGATCATTATTTATTCAAGGCAAAAAAGAAGCTACATTGACCTTCTCATCAACCTTGAGGGGATTTTTTCGATCCTAAAATGAAATTTGTAATTTCAAATACTAAATAAATAAATTGATTAACCAACATGATAGACAAAGAATATGATTTGAAATAATTGTATATACATCTCATTCTCAAATCTTTTGTGGTATATGTTCTTTCTGTCTATTGAGTAATGTAGGAATCTCATGACCTCCATCGCAGGCTGCGCCTTCTGCCATGGTCCCTGTTCAAAAAGCCATCATAAACAACAAACTTATGGTAAATAGACTACTACTAGTCTATCAGACACCTAACCAAGAATATAATCAAGTAAAAGAACAATCAGTAAAAACAAAACTATAGAAGCCCATCCAATTATAATTGGAACACAAAGTTTAACTATATTCAATCATAATTGGGACACAAAGTTTAACTACATTCAATCATAATTAGGACACAAAGTTTAACTAACAAGGCAAACAATAAATCACTTTCATATGTATTTTCATGGATAATTATGAAGATTTGTCATGATAAAGAAATCGTAGATTTGCTGCAAAAATGTTATTGATATAATGTAGAGCATCCTGGTTTCACGAGAATTGATTACTACTCAAGAATAATTGAATAAATAATAAATTTCAAAGTGGAGTAATTTCATGCTTATTTTGAACTCGTAATCAAAGCCATATCAACCTAAAACAATATAGAGCATTTATTTCAACAATGGCAACACCAAAATCCCATTCCAAA